GTTGGTAAAATAGGAGTTTATTTTTTCCAGGAAGTCTGAGCATAAAAAACACACACAAAGGTTTCGGGCTCGGCGGAGGGAGGGAATTTGCGGAGTTGAATTCTTCGATTTCATCAGGATCAGGGACGCCTTGTTTTTATTGAACTACAGATTATTAAAGTGGAATTCATAATCTGCTATGAGAGCGCTTTATCCCTCCCGGTCAGAGGAGGATTCGGAGAGAAAATGCCCTGAGAAGTTCCTCGTCTAGTCATGGCGCAGATGCTGTTTTCTCAATTGACAGATGTATCTCTCGTTTTGTTCCTTCGCTGTTTCTCTCTTGCTCTCTCCCTCCATTTCTCCCCACATTCTTCATCTTATTCACCTCGCTTCCTCGTCTCTGGGGCCACTGGAGTACGGATAAGAGATGCTGGACGGAGGGAAATGTGGCCGGAAGAATTCGGTTGAGGAGTTATTGATCAAGTGTGCGGTTTATTAGGGTATCTTGGTCGGGATGGCTTGGCATTTATCTCTTAATACCGTTAATTGGCTGCATTCGCCGCGGTTATTGCTTTGTGAATGTCAGCTCGCTCCCTGAATGAAGCGAAGGCTAATTGGCCTTCTAGAAGCGGACTTGAGGAGCAGCTCGGTGAGCCCTCACTTCTCCTCCTCGAAGGTGTCGATAGAATTTCAAATTGCTCTTTGAATATTCCTCACACGTAGGGCCTCGTGGTATATTCAAAAGAAATGTGGATTCGAGGGTATTTGCAAAGCCGCTGGTACCGTTCTCATGGTGTGACAGTTCCCGGGCCAATTACCCAATTACGGCATCCGGTAGCACGGATAGAAAGTTTTTTCTTTTGGTGTATTTCCTCTGTGAAGGAATGCAGCTTTGTGGTACGAGCGAGGGAGACAGGTGCAGCGTCGATCGATATAATATTTGGCGTTCGGCTAAAAGTTCATGACGTGCAGTTTTCTTTTTCCTGCTCAATTTATGCAGGAGAGAATGATTATGCTTTCTCCTTTGATGAGCCATGCTTCTTTCCTCGCTAATAGAAAATCTTTTACCGATGCAGACAGCGAGGCAGGCGACGCAGCTCCCGGCGAAGAAAAGTAGGCAAATTTGGGTCGGATAAGAGAAAATCCGTCCGGGTACCGAGTGAAAGTTCGGAATGGGGAAGGAAGAGAGGCGAGAGTGAGGAGGGGGGGGGGGTACCGGGAGAGAGACGAATCTGGGGGGTGGGGGGGGGGGAGAAGGGGGCGCGACAGGATGTTACGGCTCCTGTCTGATGTGAAAAAGAGACAAGGCAGGGGCGGGCGTTGATATGGAAGGCGGTTCCTCCCTCGCCGACGGGTGGCTCTGCATGGAAGTACCCGACTTGTGTTCATTTGTATGCATGCGCTCACGAACGCTCATTTATGGATGCTCAAGAAGATGCTGACTGTGTGGAAGTATACAGACACACATTCACGCTCGGATGTTCGACATTCGCACAAACACGCACACGCACGCACATAGTGAAACTTCAAAATATAACACGCAAGTACGCACTCCATGCAAATAGTGTACGACACATCTTTCAGAACTCGCAACACATTATACATGCACACACGTCACACACGTCACACACACACGTCACACACACACACACACACGTCACACACACACACACACACACGTCACACACACACACACACACGTCACACACACACACACACGTCACACACACACACACACACGTCACACACACACACACACACGTCACACACACACACACGTCACACACGTCACACACACACACACACACACACACACACGTCACACACACACACACGTCACACACACACACACACACACGTCACACACACACACGTCACACACACACACACGTCACACACACACACACACACACACACACACACACACACACACACACACACACACACACACACACACACACACACGTCACACACACACACGTCACGCACACACACGTCACGCACACACACACACGTCACACACACATACACACACGTCACACACACATACACACACGTCACACACACACACACTCACGTCACACACACGTCACACACACGTCACACACACGTCACACACACGTCACACACACACACACACACACACACACACACACACACACACACACACACACACACACACACACACACGTCACACACACACACACACACACACGTCACACACACACGTCACACACACACGTCACACACACACACACACACCACACGTCACACACACACGTCACACACACACGTCACACACCACACGTCACACACACACGTCACACACACACGTCACACACACACGTCACACACACATACACACACACACACACACACACACACACACACACACACACACACACACACACACACACACACACGTCACACACACGTCACACACACGTCACACACACGTCACACACACACACACGTCACACACACACACACGTCACACACACACACACGTCACACACACACG